GGGGGGGGGGGGAATAGGACTTGTCTGATTCAAGTCCGTCTGTGAGGAGGAGGAGGAGGAGGAGAAGGAGGAGAGAAGAGAGGCGAAGCATGCCCAGAGATTCACCCTGCTTTTGGGATCATATTCCTCAACCTATTTAATTCAAAAGGCTGCCCTTCCCAGAGGCTGTTTCTCAATCTCTCTCTCTCTCTCTCTCCCTTTCCGAAATGTTCATAGCTTGGAAGGTAGTGCGTCAAAGAGGGCTCCATCCAGACCGGGAGATTTTAAAAACAGCTTGGAGGCTGTGTTTCATCCACCTTACTCCGCCCACCCAACATGGCTAACAAAAAATGATGTAAAAGCCAGATGGCCACTGACACAAGACAGTGAGCCTCAATGCCCAAACGCAACAAGAGAGATTATCAGATGAAAACAGTAACCAAGCTGAAATGTTCACAAGCAGGTTAGGAGAGATTACGCCCCATTTGCATAACACACGCTCTGCTAAAAGCCCCCACCTGTTCTGGGGGGGCTGCAAGCCGGTGTGAATTTCCATGCTGCCAAAATGGTTTACAAAATTCTTCCTCCTCAAACACGTCCATGGTGCACTTTGAAGACAGCTCGGCATAAAAAGCATGCCATTCAAGATCTTCAAAAGCCACTCTTACGAAATGGCCGAGGGTCAGAGGTCACCGGACTGAGTGGGATGAGACACTGCTTTTGGAGGGGGGGATCTGATGTCTCTTAGGGAAAGGAATCCTCCCCAGGCCTGGCCTGGATTTTTCCGTGGGCCTCCACTGCCCTCCGGCGGCCGGCCACGGCAACAGGCAGTCCCAAACCCTACAGGCTTCTTGGCACATCTCTTTCTGCATCTTTTTTTTTTTCGAGGCAGACCTGTGAGGCCCTTTCTTTTCCCCTACGCCTCCGCTGAAGTTGTTTTGATGGATTTGCATTCCTTACAAGGTGATAATAATGGAGTTTGGAGCAGAATGGTCGCTTTCCCCGTCCTGGTAGCCTGCTCCTTCCTCCCCCTCCCCCACTTGCAGAGGAGGCTAATCTGAAGGATAGAAAAAGAGCCAGCTGTGTGGGCGATGGCCATTCTCAGGCCGAAATGTCCCCAGCTGCCGTGAGGTCCGACCACCCCAGCTCCCGACAGGACACAAGCCTGCCTCCCTTTCCCTCAGGTGTTGGGGAAGGCCTGGATGAAATGCATGTGCTCTGATTCCACAGAGTCAAGCTCTGTGTGCCAACAGCATCCTGTGCTCACATCCAGAGGTGGACCTGCCCATTTTATCTTCCGGGGGGGGGAGAGGGTAGCCTTTCGGGACAGGTTGCATGGAACAGAGGATAGCTGGTCATCACAAAGGCAGCCAGAGAGGTTCAAATGTGCAGGTGAGGTTGAGGTTGCTCCTCGTTGACGGAACAAATCCTTCCACTTTCTCCAATTTTCTGGAGAGGGAGGTCCTGAGGAGGTCCATCCCAGCAAGAAGGAGAGCCCACAGATTCACCTGCTGGCCTTTCCTCCCTGGGGAAAGCGCTTCTTCCATCCCACGCTTGCCCCTCACCGGAACAACAGCTGGAAGGGGCAGGAGTCCAGTTTTCCTGAATCCTTTGTTGTTATTCACTCTTTAAGTCATGTCCGACTCTTCGTGACCCCATGGACCAGAGTATGCCAGGCCCTCCTGTCTTCCACTGCCTCCTGGACTTTGGTCAGACTCATGTCGGTCGCTTTCGGTGACCCTGTCCATCCATCTCATCCTCTGTCGTCCCCTTCTCCTCTTGCCTTCACACTTTCCCAACATCAGGGTCTTTTTCAGGGAGTCTTCTCTTCTCGTGAGAGGGCCAAAGTACTGGAGCCTCAGCTTCAGTATCCGTCCTTCCAGTGAGGACTCAGGGTTGATTTCCTTCAAAATGGAGAGGTTTGTTCTCTTTGCAGTCCAGGGGACTCTCAAGAGCCTCCTCCAGCACCACCTGAATCCTTACGTGTGTATTTTTATTCTCCGACACAGAGTGAAAGGGAATTTCCTTTTGAGATCTGTCTGGTCCCCCTGCACTCAGTCATTTTTACGGTGGGTTCGGCCCAATCCAAGATTAAGTCATTCGCAGGCTTCCCGCCACAGCTCCAATGGGTCTCCTTTCTTTCTTTGGGGAAGTTCCGCTCTTCGGTCATCAGAACCTTTCATTGTGATTTTTATTTCCAAGCCCGTTTTCCCTGGTTTACGTTTCTGATTTATAGCCTGCTTTATCCAAACCTAGATTCCCTTCCTTTCCCTTTTATTTTATCGCCTGGTGAGGCTCATATTTCACTCTTTCATATTATGTTTTTCTCCTATTCCTCCCCAGACTAATTCCTGCAGCTGATTTTGTTTTATAAATCCTGTCTATTGGACCCTGTGTCCATTCTTCACAACCGCCTCTGTCTTTAGAAGCCCACCCCTTGGAACAGATAGATGGAGGTCTGTCGTCCCTGGTCTTTAAGCCAAACTGTTATGCAGCTGGGGAGGCAGTAAGCTTTAACCAGACGGCTGGTGGAAGACATCAGGGCTTTATAGGGTTTTATAAAGGGCTAACAGTGTCCAATTTGGCTGCTTACTAAGTCTTGCATGGAAAAGCCAGGTTCATCTGTTGCTTCACTCCAAGCTGTTCTCCATTTTACATGGAAAATCGTATTTTCCTTTATTTCCCTCTGATTTTATGTTACAGAGCTTATTCTCTGGTTACGTATCTGCTGTGGTTTAAAGTAATCTTGTGAATTCATTGCACCTGTGAATGGCCTCGGGTCATCTCGTTGGTTGCGCTTCTCCCCCCCCTTCCCTCTGTGGGCAAATGGAGGACCTCATGTTCACCAGCCACACATGTGTTCCTGCTCCCCCACCCCACCCTCTCCAAGATGTCACCCCCATCCTCATCAGCATCCTTTGGGAGGTCACACCCTGCACGGCCTCTGGAGCTTGGCCTCCGAGTTGGACTTGAAAGGGCAAAGTGTGGCCCTCGGACGGAGGACTTGAATGACCAGGAGGGAGAGGTCTGCCCTGGCCTGCACAGTCCCTCTCCCTCATGCCATGAGTCGTCATGGCTCCCTCTCAAACTATGGAGGGCGACAAGATGGGACTCTTATCAGGGCACCCCTCTGGGCCTGGTATTCGACCTTGTCGCCTGTCCCTACGGTGGTTCCCTCGTCTTCTAGCTCTGCCAGAGCCTTGTCTCCCTCTTTCTTGCTCATTCCATCCCGCGAAGATTCCAGGCCGGGAGGCATCCTCAGCCCTTTTCGGCCAACAGGAAACCGTCAGTCGTGCTGTCTGTGAAGCAAACCAAAGATTTCCTCAGTGCCACTTCGTAGGCAGGCCATTCCACGGGTCCACTCATCCAATCCACGGGCCATCTTGCCCTAGGCCGGTTCAGCCCCTTCGCCCACGGCCCTTTGGCCTGGTGCGCCCTCGTACCATAAAGGTCGGCCCTGGCGGAGACGGGCAGGAAGCCTGGGCGGCTTGTCCCGTTGGCAGGACCTTGGCAGGAGACTTGGACCTCTCTGGCTGCCAGTGATGCCCTGCTGCCCTTTTGGTGCAGAGTCTCACCCTCCTGGCATCCACCGGAGAGGTTCACCCCGACATCGCCAAGGACGCTTGAAGGAGCCGCCCAAATCCCTTCCTTGAGGCACGAGTGATTCCTTCTGCAACCCCTGCCCTTCAGCGAGGCCACATTCTTGTCGCTGTAAAGCAATGAAAAAGTTACCATTCCCCTCCTAAGGGGCAAAGCAATCCCCTTGTTATGTTTCACTCACAATGTAGTTATCATTTAGTTTGGGGGGGGGGAGAGAGAGATTATTACGAGTAACTAGCCACAAGCTTTCTTCTCTACCCTGGGGTGCTCCGAGTGTCTCCATAGGGCAGGTGTGCTGTCAGGGCGGATGCCACCTCAGCCCCCTGGTGTCAGCGGTCTGTCTTCTTGTTCTTTCCGGCAGAGACGACAACTGCCAGCACTTCGGCGTTCGTGGTCCCTCCCACCACCAGGCTCTCGGATTCCGACGTCACCGACAGGAATCGGGCCATGGCGCTTTCCCTGGTGGTCAGTCTGGTGCTGGTGGTGTTCAGCATTCACTTTATTTAGTGAGTATCCATAAGGAGGGGAGATCTCTGTGCTTCTTGGTTGGGCTGGGGGGAGGA